CTCAAAATAAAATCTTGAAACAGAAAACATTTGTTTATAGGCTCTGGAACTTGTTCTAACCTCTTGCCAAGGCAATGAAACAAGGATAGATCACATACATACAGATGCTGTTACCTGAATAAGATCAGGAAGCGATTAAGAAGAGCTCCTGCAGCTTGCAGCAAGAATGGAGTTTGCTCTGGCCCCAGTGGAAACCACCTGGCCCCCTGCCCTCCACTACCCCAAAGGTACCTATGATCTTCTGTATGTTGCCTACACTCATACTTATTGCCTTTCCTCTGATTCTTGACTGCATCAAAAGTTGAGCACGTTATCATCTAAGGACAAATTCTCATCTAGGAGACACAACATAAGCAGGAAAATACAGATACTTAATTGTTCTCTTTGGGAAACAATGACTTTTTCTCTTTCCACTTTAATTATAAAACCCCACTGTTACCCACAGAAAGCCTATTTCAGGTTCTACCCTTGTTAAAAAAGAGAAAATGTCCAACTGTAATTGTTATACCAAAGACCAAATCTTGGTATCAACAATGGCAGGTATCTCAAACAGCTCTGTAGAGCTACACCTATCTGTACTATCTGAGATCTGACCAAGTCTTTAGAACAGATAATAATGGAAAAGGCACTGCCTCCTGGATTTTTTTTTCTTATGACTGTTTTTGCTCCAGAGATATTAATCCAATGCTGCATCTTCCACTTCAAAGGTGTAATTTGCTTTCACATTCAGTAGTTCAAAGGCGAACTACTTCAAGCTGTTGGAAGATGCAATTTTAATGTGATTGAACCTTGCTGATTTTGTGCATTCTTCAGCAATTAATCAGCATATAATATATATATATGAACATAGGAAAAAGAGGGTTAAAATAAGTAAAAGAGACTTCTAATGGAGCAACAAACACCTATGCTTCATCAGTTGTGTAAAGGAATGGTAAATATATGCCCTGCATGATGAAATGACAAACTAAGAAAAGTATGCATCTTCATATAAGGTGAAAAAAGTGAAAACTTTATGGGTGTCTTCATTTAGGAATCAGCAGTCATCACATTATTCACCGAAAAATTTACAGATACATCAACATCTTAGCCCATGGTGGGCAGTATCACAAGATTATAAGGTGTCTTTGAATATGAAAATTACAGAATGGGTCAGGTTGGAAGGGACCACAGTGTGTCATCTGGTCCAACCTCCCCACCTAAACAGGGTTATGCCAGAGCACACAGGACAGGATTGAATGCAGACAGTTCTTGAATATCTCCAGTGAGGGAGACTTCACAGCCCCTCTGGACAATCTGTTCCTGTGTACAGTCACCTGCCCACTAAAGAAATTCCTCCTTATATTCAGATGGAACTCCCTGTGCATCAGTTTCTGCCCAGTGCCTCTTGTTTCATTGCTTGGCAACAACACTGAGAAGAGCCTGGCCCCATTCTTGACAACTCTCCTTCAGATTAAATTCAGTAATATCCAGCAAAATTCTAAAGCAATTCATAAAAGTTAAGGGAGAATAAAAATGGCATTTAAGAAACTCACAGAAGTTCAATGTAAGAGTGCAGAACCTGAAGCAAATAACTGCTCATTGAAAATGAAATCAGTTAAATCAGAGAAAGGAAATTATTCATGAACAAAACATGCCATTAAACATATTTTCAGCATAAATAGTTCAACACTTGGCAGTGTGTGTCAGCCTCACACCAATACAAACACCAGTCCTCAGTACCACAACTTCTCTTCCATGAGTTGCTAAAAGCTGCTGTTGTCTAGCTCAGATCATCAAGCTGATACACACCGTGACTCAACTCTGGGAATCTTGCTGTTTCATCACTTTGCTTCAGTTTATGTTAAAAACCAAGAAGGCTTTCCCAGTGGCCACACAAAATGAACCAGCTGTGTATTTGTAACTGAATCAAATGCATAAACCAGGTTTGCACAGGATGGAATGAGAAAGTTTGGTGAGTTTAATCACTTGTATCTATAATCAACTATGCTCATTTAAATGCCACTCAAAACTCTGAAGGTCCATTAAACACACCACAACACCAAAATACCCATTCTCTCAAGAGATTAAAAAAGTAACAAAAGCAGTTTCAGATGGAGAAATAAAAATGTCTCAGTGATGGCACCCATAGCACAGGATGGGTGGGGATTAGAAGGGACCTCTAGAGATAACTTTTAGTTCAACCTCCCTGCTCAAAGCACATATTCACAACATTGTATACGTTAACTCCAAGATAAATAAACCCCCAAATGGTTAAACTGAGTATTGCAACAACCTCAGATTTTTATGGTAGTAGACAGGAGGATGGTAGTAAACAGGAAATCATGTCCCCCGAAAGCTTTTCATGGATTGAAAGCAAACACTTGAAATTTGAATTAGAACACTCCACCCCTCCTTCCAACAAAACAAAATAAAACCTTCAAACCTCATAAACAAAACAAAATGAAATTATAATTCTATGAAATAAAGCATGGCTCAACTCAAACCCCACAATCATTGCAGATTATTGTCAAGGGCATCCTCAAGAAAACATAATGCAGAAAAGCAGTATAGAAGACACAGAGTAGCATACACCAAGACATTCTTTCAAAAACCTTTAGAATTAAAAACAAGACAGATGCAAGTCATGACTAGCACTTACAAAAGCTGAAGACAGACTAAAGACAATACAAAAATAGCATGGTTTTCAAAAAATGGACATAAGAGATCCCAAAAGAAATATAATCAGGCTGATTGCCTTGACAAAGTCTCAGCCACACATTCCCCTGACCTCTCTCATTCACAGAAGGAAAATATCATCTAAAGTGCATGAGCTCACTATAGTTTAGTTTTGTTTTTCTCTCTGATAGTTTAGCTGAACTCTGTACATCCCATACTACACATCACTTCACACCACTGACCAGCAATTCTTCCAGTTAACTTTCTACATCCTCCCACAACTGGAGGAGGAAAACAAAAGAATTCAACACACATCTAAGAAAAAGAGCGTAAAAATTTAATTTGGAGGCAAACAGAGATGCAGTGTCATATTCACTGCATCTTGTCATTCATCATCTGAAAAGACCCACTTTTGTTTTTCATTACTTGTTTTTCATCATGTTTCCATCTCATCACTGATGTTATGGCTGCAATATTTCTCATCGTAGGCAAAACAGGCGGGAGAGGTCACAGAAGGAAAGATGAAGGGAAGAACTAGCGCTTTATTAGGCAAAGTAATTGGATCATACCTGTTCTACACAAAAGTTTCTTAAGAGCAGTCTTTGCCAGGAAGGTAGAAAGGGGGAAAAGACAAAAGCCAACACAGTTTCCTTCTGGCTGGTTTAACTGACATGACTTCAGAACACGTGTACTATGTGCAAAGTAAGTGGAGTTAAGTCCACAGCAAACGGACTGCAAGTGTTTTCTTAAGCCGTAGTTCACTAGAATTATTATCATCCTCAAACTGTGCTACTATTTTAGTATTTTTAAATACAAGTAGATACAGTGTTAAATGGCGACATAATAAAATGCTGGAGAGTTTATTCTGCTGATGCCTAGCAACTTAGGGTAAATGTGAAATGCATTATGAAAATGTTATATTATTACTGTGCCTTTACATAAACCTGTGCACATATATAATCTCTTTTTAAGTGTGTGTTGAACATTTACAGATCTGTAATTGAACAGTAAACTGTTTTTAATTTGTCAATAGTTTAAAAGGAAAAAAGGTCACTGTCATTGTGTAACCCATCTTGCAGTCAGAAGTGAAAGTTGCAAAGGATTTTCCCTTCTTCAGATTTCTCTTTCTAGTGTTATTGGAAAGCTTGTCTTCTTGTTTAAATGAATTTCCTTTTAATCTTCTCTCTGAGCTGCTGGATAGATGGAGCCTCTTAAAAAATTCAGGATATCACTGTAATTGTAAATTGATCTGCTTCTGTGGCAGAAGGCTGTGTCCCTCCATCCAGGAAAGAGACTGTCTTCTCAAAGTTGTTTCTCAGTCAAATGATTAATTTGCAGTCTCTTTTATTATTGTATTACCCTTTAATGAAAAATCACTTTTTAAACAAATCTACTACTTTTTAGACTGTTTTATTCCTGGCAACATACAGGAAAGTAAGCTAACTGCCAGAACCAATGTGAAATATTTCCCAGTCAGAAATTTCTACATTTCCTAAATGAGAGTTTGATTCTACTTACATAGGTACTAAAACCGTTTCAAGACAACTAAAATGCACATATTCATCACTGCTTAAGTCCTGAATTAATGTAATATATTAACAGACACAGGAAAATTCCCCACTGATTTTTAATGCAGAGTTAAGGTTGAAACACTGTTATGACTATGCAATCCTTAAAACCGACACGTAACTCATTAGGATCAACGTTGGGGAAATTATCCATCTACTGTGGTGCTGAATCCACATAGCCTATTTGCCTTTGGCTCTTTGGTTATGAGATCTGGCATCACTTGGATTATTTCACCTAATCCATCATTAGCTTTCACGTGTCCTATATACCGTGGAATAAACCTAAATTTAACAAACCCAACTCCCCATCAATTACCACACTGAATATATTACATGTCAGCACAGGACACAAAGATTAGACGTGCTGAATCACATCTTTCTTTGTGAAAATTCAATATGTTTAGAGCACTTTTAATGATGCTGACTCCAATTGTAATAATTGTTCCTTCTCACTGTGGACAGGCACTAATGTTCTGACCTTTATGTACAACACAGAGCTGCTAAACAAAATGAAGAACCTCAGAAGACACAGAAAATATATTAGAGATCACAGTAATAGTGCCACAGACTCACAAACGCGGAGTTTTTTAATTACGATATTTGCCTGGATGGTGGAATCCTGCAAGATGACCTATTTTTCCCTTATAATCCTGCCAGTAAACATTAGTTATTTAGATTAACTTTCTCCCTGCAAATACACAAAGCACACAAAAAGGTTATTACTTACAACAAAACCTCAACACACTGCTGTTACGTTACCGCAGCATCCTGACTTACCAGTCTTCCACAAATACACTGAGGAAGTTTGAAATTCACTTTGTGCACGAGCGTCGCAGATTGCCAGCAGCAGCAGCAGCATCAGGAGGACTCGCAGGCAGCGAGCGGGCAGGGCAGGAGCCCCTGGACCACGGCAGGCAGGAGCGCTCCCCTGGCTCAGCCCCATGCCTCCGCTGCCGCCTCCAAAACCCGCAGCACCACCGCCGAGCCTCCCTCCGCCGATCCGCCCCTCTTCAGAATTTCTTCACGGGGAGAAAGGGGCTGGAAACCTCTCTCCCGCTGTTGTGCATGGCAGGTGAAAAGGAAAAACTGTTTAACACCAGGGAACAATAGAGTCCTCGCTCGCTCTCGCCGCTGCTGCTGCTGCTGCAGCTCCTCGTGCTGGTATGGTGGCCGCTCCACGCTCTTCCATTCAGCGGCTATAGCGGTTTTCCATCAGCTAAAAGCGAGACAGCTGTCCGCAGGGGGCTCCAGCTGACTGAGCAGGTTATCTTGCTCTGGGAGGCAGCAGCAGTCATTTACACCAGCTGGAGAGAGTGAGAGACAGAGAGAAACAGCGATGAGGAGAAACACAAATAGCCCAGCGCTGTAATCTCAGTGCAGAGAGTGACTGCAAAAGGCTGGCTTCCCAGACACGTCTCTCCCTGGAATATCCCAAGTGATACACACTAAGAAGAAAAGAAGAAATCATCATCAGACGTGCTGCAGAAACACAAGTCGTTCAACCAGAACAGATACAAACAGAACAATATATAACAATTAAGAGAGCATCAGACATTTGTCCTGATAAAACTATGTACAGTGCATTAACCATTTTGTAAACAACAAAAAATTAAGTGATTACACATGCATTAAACAGGCAATTAAGACCTTAAGAAGGGAAATGGAAGACAATGTAGCAAAAAAAGAAGAAAAAATTAAAACACTACCTTTTCTTGCATATATTTATCAAATCTGTTTCAGGTAATGGCATACAGCTATCTGTTATGAGGACAGATGAATATATGTGTATGATAATGTGTATGTATGTGTAAGCCCATCACCCCTGTGGTAGATGAAGTGTGCACATAATATAGAACACAAGATAACATCCTTTCTTACCCAGCAAGTATGTACACATGCATAAACATCAACTGTGTAATTTTAAATAATTTGACGATCAAGTTATCAATCATTTTACATATGAAAGTATGCAGGATACATTAGGCTGTCAAGATGGTACAAAAACGTGGATAGAGACAAAGCTTTTTAAATAGGGATCTTTATCTTTCCCACCCACTACACAGTGAACAGACACTTTAACAAGCCTAAAGATTGGGCTTCTGACACTTATAAACTGGGAAGCAAATGAGGAATTTTCAAGGAAACCAATATCATATTCAGAAAGTTGCATTAAAAATGCAACCAAAAATACACAGTAAGAGCACAGGACCCAGAGCTGAAAAATGATGGAGCTATTGTTGTTTAAAGAAGAAACCTTCAGTCAACCTCTCTTGGGACGCCTGTCATTTTGCACAAGCTTCCCAGACTCAGCCTTTTCACATGCATTAGATTAAAATCAGTTGTGATCAAATAATTCCCAAGTCCTTGCCTGTTTAAATATTCTGACATCAGAGCAAATTAGCAATGTTGAAGGTTGCAAATTCGTCTTTGTTTACTTTCCACTCTGTTACGCCTCTAAGAGGGAATTAAAGGCTCAGGGAGCTATAGCACCATGAGGCTGTGATTAAGAGAGATAAGCAAGTGTGGATTACTGTTCCTCAGCTGTTGAAAAACAGGCAACAATCAGGAGATTATAGGTTGATAAGGGATACATAGAAAGCCATGATCTTAACAAATTTATAGCATCCTGATCCAGAACTTGTACCCTCAGCTAAATGCACTTCAGGAGACACATTTTAGTCACTTCTACATCATGCTGTATTCGCTTTAAAAAGCATGGTTTCCCCTTCAGCCTTTGCCTTGAACTAGAGAGAACACTGATTTAAAACAAATTTTTTCTGAGTTCATTGATGATTTACATCCATTTTAAAGCTACATCTGTGGTTAAGTTAATCACACACACGTTATTTAACAGGCTGTATAGAGGGACTTGAGAATATTCAACATAATAAAAATAATGCCAGCTTCACAGTTTATGAAAAATAGGATCAAGAATCTAAGGGCTTAAAGAAGTTTTAAGAACCTCAGGAAATCAATGACAATAGTTGTATTGACTTGCATACTTAAAACATATGTTACTTATATATTCCTTTGCAAAATTAAGAATAAAATGTTGGCTTTTTAGCCAGAGCTGTGCATCAGAGGATGACCCAAGTTTATAGAGAGACTAGGGGAAAAGGCACCCTTTCCAGAGTTATTAAATACAATGGATTCTACCTGGAATTTTTAATGAATGTATAAAGAAAGCCTCTGAGAATATTTTGTACGTGACTCAGATCATCTGGAAACATCATCAGGGAACAGATCATCCATGTAGTTGGCACAATGAATCAAAGTGGGTTTTGACAGCAGAACAAAGCAGCATCATGAGCGAGGGTAAGCACACGTACACAAACACTCAGATATTTTCTTGTATTTATGCAACTATAGGACTGCATACTTCAAAACCACTAAAATACAGATTATTGAAGTAAAATATTTTCACACTACTTTTTATGGTTTTACCATTTTTTCAGTCACAAAATCAAAGAACTCCAAAAGAATAATTTCACTTTATTTTGTCAGAAGATACAATGAATTAAAACTGTTCAGAAATAGGTCACAGAGACAAAATGGAAGGAATATTTATTATACAAAAAATATTTGTGTGTCTGGAAGGAAAATAAGGATTTCTGCAGAGCTGGTTTTGGGACACTGTTGTTCCGATTGGGAACGGCGATAAAGAACGACATGGGACTCTCAAGGGAGTCACAACATGAGAATTCCTCAGTTTATTGCTTCAGCCCTGTCTTATAGACAGATACGTGGAAAGTACAGAAAAGAAACTCTTATTGGCTAACAAAGTGCTACATCACCATCATTGGTCAGTGGCACACAACCCCTCTGACTTCCTCCTGCAAGGGAAAACAAGAGACTGCAAAACAACACCTGCAAGGCTGTTTAGTGTCCCTGAGAATTGTTTTAATTCCTTCTCATATTTTTCCCAGGATACTTTCTCAGGCAGCCTGAGGAGCCATGCGGCCTGCAATTTGTACAGGCACTGTGGTTCAGATTTAGCATCCATAGGACACAATCACTTATGCCATACATGCACTCATCTATTACTCAGGACAGGGAAAGGCCAGTGATTCCCCAGGCCAAAGAGCAGGCTGGTGCCTGAAGACACAAACACCAAAACCAACCTCACCAACCTAACTGCAGGAATTAGACTTCTTAAACAAGAGGGAGATTATCCTGATTTTAAGTTTCAGTTGCTGTCAGCACACCTTTCTGGGAATGCTGTTGTTAGCCATTTTCAGCCCACTCCATCTGATGCCCTATTACCCTCTTCTATTTGCTACAGTGAACGTGGGACCTCCCTCCAGTTAACAATGCAACCACTATTTCCAACCCACTGGTAATCTTCTAATAATACTTAACTATCATAATTTGCCAGTTATTTATGGCTTAGACATTCCCAAGTAAATGGTTAAGTATTTCTGAGAAGAAGCCTCTAGACAAAGCTCAGAAATAAACTACAATTGACATTAGTATGCATATCACAAACTTGATAGCGTCATTGTTGTCCCCTAGAGCACCAACACAAGAGCCTCAAGAGATACAATTATTTATTTAGATGTAGCAGTGGCACTTGGGGATATGGTTCAGTGGTGGACTTGACAGAGATAGGTCAAAACCAAATAATCCTATTATTTTATTTGAGGCACTACAGATACAAGTCTGCAAACTACTCTCACAATCACTGACAACTTAGCAACTTTTCATTTTTCTGCTAAAAGTATGACTAACCCCAAAGACCTTTATGAAAATGTTTTATGTGGTAGCCATGAAATATTAGAATAACTTTGCTCACATTTCCTGGAATTAAAGAGTTAGAGGATGACAAAGGAAGCACGAAATACCTTTTATTTTTTGGAGAGAGAAATGGTAAGACATATATTTCAATACAGAATCAAGCTGGTGGTATTCCTCTGCTACCAGGCTAACCTCTGCCACCATGCTAACACCCTTCTCTTTATGAAAAGCCATGAATAAAAGCTTCAAGATCATATTAACTTATATCCTGATGATGTGGTATATCTACATACAGTAAGGCCAAAGAGCATGCAAAGACTACTAAATACATACACACATTTGTTGCTAGAGTAAGCAATACACAAGATCACTGTTGAGCATCACTTTCATCTGCCTTCAGTTTCAGACTGGTCAAGCCAGAAACTTTTAGAGAAGTTTCAGTCCATTTTTGTGGATCTACAGAAGATATTTTACAAACTCTCTAACTGTACTTCACTAAACCATCTCTGCTGCATGAGTACTAGACTAGTACAAAAAAATCTCCAGAAGGAGTACTAGAATAGCCCAAATTCTAAATAGTGAGAAATGTTTTATTTCTGGTGTAGAAAAGTCAAAGTTCTCTTCATATGAACTGTGCTAGTTTTGATTGATCTCAAGTGCTTTTTCCTCCCTCTTAGGTATGAAAATAACAAATATTGCCAAAAACAACTAAGTCACCTATCTCCTATTCATTTAGCTCTATAGTTACAATGACTTTATTATATCCAATGCTCACTGGATAATAGAGTACCAAATATTTCTGAAAAGTATTCTAAATTTGTAAGATGCTGTTCCGCTGCCATATGAATCCAATATGATGCCCTTGGATATATCCATTTCATGGGATGCAGTGATATGGTTGCCCCCCCTAACTTCTTAACTAGAGAAGTTAGGAAGGTGAAGTGTGTTCCCTTAAATATATGTTTCCTTGTAATATCCATAATCTAAAACAATTCACATAACAGTTAAAATAAGCTTTTGTTCTCTTCATGCCCTGACTAACTCATGGGCCAAAAATTCTAGTTCTGCATTTTGTGAGAGCCTTTCATGAAGATACTCTACTAAGGTTGCAAGTGTATTGTAATAATTCTCTTCAGATGGGACCTGCAAGAATTTTGTTAGATATTGACTACTGCAGGATGGAATAATTTGCACAGGGCTCTTTTAATCTTTGTTGAACAGTATTAAGAACTCTTTACCAGATTCAGAAACAGTCTCTTATTTTTCTTCATATCAATTCTAGGGACCCTCGTCAGGGAGGCCTCTAGATGTCACACTCGACCATGTCTTAATACGCTATTATGGATTTCTCTTTTTCTTTCATAGCAGGTAAGAGGCCTTGATTTTACCCTTCCCGGGTATTTATGTCACATCCTCTTTTTGCAATTTTTAAAACCAAAAACAAAACCAACCCATCCTCTTTCATACAAGTAGTACAATTATTATGGTTTTCCTAGAATAACTGTTATTGCAAACGTTAGAAGTATCATGATGGCTGTCTGTTAAATCTGTTTCATTCTCTTAGATCATGGATTTGGAGAACAAATTATGAAATTTAGGAGTTATATGTGTAAGCTGCACAAAAATAAGAAAGCATTACATGTACAAAGTGACTGGAGTATATTAATAAAGCATACTTAAACTCTTCAATGTTTCTTGTTTACTAAAAAAAAATGCTGCAAGAAA